CTCCCAATGAACAAAAGTCCAGGACCAGATGGCTTCAAAGGTGAATTCTACCAAATATTTAAAGAAGAGTTAACACCTGTCCTTCTCAAATTATACCAAAAAATTGAAGAAGAAGGAATGCATCTGGATTCATACTATGAGGTGAGTATCACACTGATGTCAAAACCAGAAAAGACCTGCACACACAAAAGAAAGAAAGAAAGGAAGAAAGAAAGAGAGAGGGAGAGAAAGAAAGGAAGGAAAGAAAGAAAAGAAATGAAGGAAGAAAGGAAGGAAGGAAGGAAGGAAAAGAAAGGAAAAGGAAAAAAGTAAATTACAAGCTGAACTTGTAACTTCTGAACGTAGATGCAAAAAAATCCTCTATATATGCACTATATTCATGGATTAGAAAAATGAATATTATTAAAGCCATACCACCCAAAGCAATCTAAAGATTCAGTTCAATCACTATCAAAATTTCAGTGGCATTTTTAACAGAGCTAGAACAAATAATTCTAAAATTTGTATGAAAACACACACACACACACACACACACACACACACACACACACACTAACCTTGAATAGCCAAAGCAGTCTTGAGAAAGAAGAAAAAAAACTGGAGGTATCACACTACTTAATTTCAAACTATACTACAAAACTAAAATAATCAAAACATTATGGTGCTCACACACACACACACACACACACACACACACACACAGCTCAATGGAACAGAATAGCAAACCCAGAAATAAACCCACACTTATACGGTCAATTAATCCACATCAAAGTAGGCAAGAATATAAAATGGGAAAAATATTTTCAGTAAATAGTGCTGGATAAAACTAGACAGCTATATGCAAAAGAATCAAACTGGATTAATTTCTCATATCATATACAGAAACAAACTAAAAATGGATTAAAGATTTCAATGAAGACCTGAAACCATAAAGCTCCTAGAAGAAAACAAAGGAAGTACACTCTTTGACATCAGTCTTAGCAATATTTTTTTGGATCTGTCTCAGGTGAGTGAAACAATAGCAGAAATAATTAAATGGGACTACATCAAGCTAAAAAGATTTTGCACAGCAAAGGAAACTATCAACAAAATGAAAAGGCAGCTTAGTTGGAAGAAAATATTTGAAATTGATATATCCAACATGGGATTAATATCCAAAATATACACAGAACACAATTTCAAAATATTAAAAATATGAGTAGAGGACATGAATAGACTTTTTTTTCAAAGAAGACATACAGAAGACCAACAGAAACATGAAAAGATGTTCAACATCACGAATCATCAGGGAAATGCAAATCTAAACCACAATCAAATACCATCTCACACTTGTCAGAATGGCTGTTATCAAAAAGAACAAAAAATAATAAGTGTTGGTGAGGATGTAAAGGAAAGGGAATTCTGGTGTGCTTTTTGTGGGATTGTAAGTTGGTTCAACCACTATGGAAAACTGTATGGAGATTGCTCAGAAAGTTAAAAATGGAACTATTATATGATCTAGCATTTTCATATCTGGGTATTTACCCAAAGAAAACAGAAACACGAATTTGAAAAGATCTATACACTCCAATGTCATTGAAACATTATCTATAATAACCAGGATATGGAAACAACCTAAGTGCCTATGCCCATGGATAGATGAATGGTTAAATTCATAATTTGCTACAACATGGATGAATCTAGAGGGTATTATGCTAAGTGAAATGTCATACAAAGACAAATACCATATGATCTCACTTATTATGTGGATTCTAAAAAACTAAACAAAATAAACAAACAAACCAAACAATGAAAACAGTCATACAGAGAAAAAACTGGTGGTTTCCAGAGGGGGTGGGTGGGGCAGGTGGAGGGTGGACAAAATAGGTGAATGGGTTTAAGAGATGCAAACTTCTGGTTATAAAATAAATAAGCCATGGTGATATAATATACAGCATAAGAAATATGGTCAATGATACTGTAATAACTTTGGGGACAGATGGTTACTAGATTTATCATTGCGATCATTTCATAATGTACACAAATGTCAAATCACTCTATAGTGCACCTGAAACTAACATAATACTGTACATCAATCACATTTCAATAATTTTAAAAATATTACATTATTATATAGTAGGTACCCAATAGGTGTTGACTACTGAACAAATGCATTTTTAGCAAACAACTGTTTCTTACCACATATTAGGTAACAAATTTATAAGAAGTAAATATAATCTGGAACCATCTTAACATTTTTTTATTTGCCTCTCCATATATGTAAGAATCTGAGAAATCATTATGCCAGGCCTCATACTGAGAGTATTTTCTGCTATCAAGGACTCTTGTTTTCTTCATTTCTTTTCAGAACCCTCTCAAGGTTTGCATGCTTTTTATACACCTAGAATAAATTAACTTTCCTAGAGATAAGACTTGATCCAAAACATTTCTTCCATTAAAGAGAGGTGGTCATTTTCTGACATTTCCCCCTATTTATCCATGTGCCGATTCTTTTACCTGGAACTGTGATTCATGGTGGTCAGAATAACGATATTCTTCAAAGACCTTGTCACCAATACAGACTTCTTTTTAACTGAATTCTAGGAATAAGATCTGGCAGTTTTGACTTAGACCCTTAAGGCATAGCTGCAGTGACATGTCACTTTCCACTGCTTTGAAATCCCACGAGGAAAAAATCTTCATACAAGTTTATGCTTCCCTTCTCTTGTCTTCCTTCTGTAAATACTGCTGATCTCTAACTCTATCCCATGAAAACCACCAATCAGTAGCTAATGTGCATTCTGAATTACACTAGGGTACATTGAGTTCTGTTGACACTCGACAAATAGCACTTAGTCTTAATTAAAGCTTTTTGGTGTGGAAGACTTTTGCATAACAGTGTTTGAGCAGTCGCTTATGCTCATAATCTCAGTCTTTGTAAGCATAGAATGAGAAATAGGCATATGTGATGCTTTCATGAGTACGTAACAAATAGGTACCACCACTGTAGGATATTTACAGGAATATTTGGAAGACCACAGTTTCCTCCCCACCCCTGCCCCATGTTCTTACACACTTGAAGAGTGTCGATTCACATCTCTATTAATTTTGATTATCATTAACTGGAAAGTTCTTACAGAATCTCAAGACGAATGGAGTGGTAGGAAGAATAATGACCCACAAAAATAGCCAAATCCTAATCCTCAGAACCTGTGAATATGTTAAGCTAACTGGTAAAGAAGAATTAATGTTGCTAAGTAGCTGTCCTTAAAATAGGGAGATTGGGGCTTCCCTGGTGGCGCAGTGGTTGAGAGTCCGCCTGCCAATGCAGGGGACACGGGTTCGTGCCCCGGTCCTGGAAGATCCCACATGCTGCGGAGCGGCTGGACCCGTGAGCCATGGCCGCTGAGCCTGCGCATCTGGAGACTGTGCTCCGCAATGGGAGAGGCCACAACAGTGAGAGGCCCGCGTACCGCAAAAAAAAAAAAAAAAAAAAAAAATAGGGAGATCATCCTTGATTAACTGGCTGAGCCCAGTACAATCACAAGGGTCCTTAAAAGTGGAAGAAGGGGCAAAAGAAGAGAATTAGTATTAAAAGTGACTTTGGAAGAAAGATACACAGAAGTGCAACATTGCTGGCTTTGAAGATACAGGAAGGGGGCTACAAGCCAAGGAATATGGGTGGTTTGGGGAGTTAGAAAAGACAAAGAGATGTGTTATTCCCTGGAGGCTCTAGAAAAAAATGCAGTTTAACAGCAGCTCGATTTTAGCCCAGTGAGACTGGTATCAGACTTCTGCAGAGATGTAAAACAAAACATTTGTGTTGTTTTATGCTGTTTAAGTTTGTGCTAATTTGTTACAATAGCCACATAAAATTAATACATGATTTCTTTTCTTTTCCTGTAAGAAGAGAGTGATGATAAATTAGCAAGGTTTACATGGGTGTTGAAGGGGGAGACAATAATGAGGACAAAACTAGAAAAAGCACTGTTAAAGGATGTTAATTTCTCATTTTGATCCATATGTCCGTTATTTGTCTTCCCTAAATGTGGCCAACACAGTGCTTTGTTGGTGATCCCTGGCAGCACTCTTCGATCACTTATGATGGAAATAAATTATAATTTACCTGATAGAGAGGAAAGTCCTTGTCCTCTTCCAGAAAATAAACAGATTATCATAATAAAATATCTATCTGAACAATCTAGGTCTGTTGAAACTGTTATGCCTTAAAGGGGGGGAAAAAGGTTCATCCCGTATTGTAGTTTTATGTAATTGCATCACAGCAATTTGTCCAAATGACCCTTGTTAAAATAAAGAAATGGGCTACTGAACAATCTTACCACAAATCTTGAAGACAATGAGACATTTGATCTTGTCGTGAATCATAAATGATTGCCTCATTATCTTTTATAAAGACTCAAAGATACTTTGAGAGATTGATTTCTGTCATAGAAAATCCACGCTCACCGATCAGTACCACGGACAGAACTAAGCATGTGAAAATCTTGCCTAGAAGGTCGGTGTACAAGCTGCTTAAAACACCAAACACGATAAACTTCTGAGAGGACCACTTTGCCTTCTAACCGCTCTGTCTTCCTCTTTTCATTTTTTTCTTGCTATCATTTTGAGTGAAATGTTGTAATGAGCTTTGTAGTATGCTTGAATTAATCACCAGAATCCATAAATAGATGGTGATGGAGATAATGATCTAAATTCTATAAAACATCTAGAGTGTAGAAGAGATTTACTAAGTATTCGTTACAGTTCATAAAATACATGAATGAAAATTTAGAAGTTTGAAACATTATCTCAAACCAAGATAGCCCTAGCAATTTTCTATTATATGTAGTTGATATACTGACACTGGTAGTGGGGGTAGAGTTTGGAAAGAGAAGATAAAGAGAGATGGGGGACAATTTCCTTTATTCAAAAAATAACGAGGCAATTTCTGTAATTTCAGACATTACTTAAAGTAGATATGGAGCATAGTTTAAAAAAACTGACTGTCTTTCATGTTGCAGAGAATCTTGGATTGGATCCTGAAGTTGCTAAAGCAAACACCCTGGGTTTTGTTGGCTGTCTGGCTTCAGTCCAATACAACCATATATCACCACTGAAGGCAGCCCTGCGCCATGCCACCACCGCACCTGTAACCATCCAAGGGATATTGACAGAATCCAGCTGTGGCTCGATGATGGATTCGGATGTGAATGCAGTGACCACGGTGCATTCTTCATCAGGTGTGCAAGAAAATACTCAAGGGAACTTCTCTCACCAGTGCTACTTTGATGTCTTCAAGAAGCTTCCAGGCTAAAGGCTAATATTACCCAATTCCTTACCTTGTATGGTTACAGGTGGTTAAGAATTATGACTGATTTCTTAGTGATATTTAATATGCTTAGATAATCCTAATTTTAATGAGTAGTTAGAAATAGATATATGTGTATATATTTAACTGTATGTACATTAACATATATGTTATTTAAAAAAGAGCAGCAAGCTTGAAGGCACATTGATCTGTGTTGAAATCCTTGCTCTGACACTTATTGGTCTGGTGATGTTGAGTTACATACATTTTTGAATAACAATCTGAAAATGTATATATATATATATATTCGCTATTGTTTAAGTGGTTGCTGCTCTAAGGATTAAAGAGTTTAGGGGTCAGGAAGGCAGGCTGGTTGTTGATCTATCAATAATACAATTCATGTGATTAAAAGCGACCTTCCTTGATAAAAGGAAAGTCCCACAGGACTACCATCCATATACCTTCTCTTATTTTGCCGCTTCCTGAAATACCTTTTCTTAGTCACTGTCATCCTAGGTGTCTTGGATGTTCTTAGGATTTATTTTAATCAGGTGTGGTCATCAATTGCCGAATAAGTTATGAATTACAAGCAAAGAAAGGGCACAGAGTTTTGCTGCTGCCTGCTCATCACCAATCTTGGTGTTTTCTTGGCAATGGTCAGGTATGTATACTAGAAAGAACCTGAATACGACACTTGGCTAACCTTGATTGGAATTCTGAATCTTCCATGAATGAACTACAGAACTTTGGGCAGGTTACTTAATGGCTTTGATATAATTTCCTTATCTGTGAGATTGGAAAAAATTATAATCATGTTGTAGTCATTTCCTGAGGATTAAATGATACAGCAATACTAATGAGAGGTGCTATAGGTCCTGACAATTTTATGTGCACTATATGCATACCTATAGGATCATTAACTCCCTTTAATACATTTGCAGATTGCTATTTAAAAAATGTATGTAGCTCACTGTCACCAGACCAATAAGTGTCAGAGCTAGGATTCGAAACCAGGTCTATGTGCCTTCAAACTTGATGCTCTTTGTTTTTTTTACACCGTATATGTTAATGTACATATAGTAAAATGTGTGAGGGTTTCTTGGGGGTGCTAATTCACCAGCAATTTGCCCTTTCCTGCCAATGGAGTCAGAAATCTATTATAATTAAAGAAACCTCTGAATCAGAGGCAGGTGTGCTTGAGGGAAGAAGTCGTTGACAGGCATGGGAACTGTCCAGCAAATAATAAAGGGACTTCAAGGGTAGGCTGAGAGGTAAGCTGTAGGCCAAGGCAGATACGAGCAGCGTACCACCATCATGTCTTTTAACCTCTTGTCTCACAACTTACATAGAAACGAACAGGGTCATGAAACTACGGGGTGTAAGCAGTATACTTAAAATGCTTTTTTGGGTATGTTTGGCTTCCTTCCAAAATGCCAACTATTTGAGAGCACCTGGTCTAATATGCAGGTGTGTCATCACAACACCATATTTCAGATCTTCTTCTAGGACTTTGAGTGTCTTTTACACCTTTCAGATCTTTTTGGGAAGACAGATGAGCGGGAACCACTCACCAACACAGTGCAAAGTGACTCGGCTCTCATCGGAGGTAAACCATTCTTTGTGGCGGAAAGCAGAAAAGACATCAGTGGTTCTGTGCTCTGGAGGAACGTACCTGAATCCTTCCTCAGTGTGGCTATCCAGCACCCAGAACCCTGCATGATCTAAGAACGTGAGGTTTTTCATGAATAATCACACATGCTGGGATGATCAAAAGTACCCTACCCTCCAAGCCCAGCACCAGCAGCTCTATGAAGGGATCCCTCCCTGAACCACCAGGCAGCTGAGCACATAGTCAACAGCTGGATAATTTACTTTGAGACAGGCAGCGTGCATCCTATTGATCTCATCCACTTGTCATTTTTCCTAAAGCACAAAGCAAACTAATAAAACTACATATGGGAAAAAGCCATGTTGGGACAGACAGATGGGCAAAGCTGTAGTGCTGTTGGGTTTTCTCCACTGAGTGGATCTAATGAACACAGTGAAGCCCACGGGACTGTAGTTTCCGATCTAGCAGCACATATGGTTACAGAGGAAGCTCTTGTCCGTTCTGCTGTGAGCTCCGCTCTCCCTCCCACCCCCATTGCTTTTCCATTTTCTCACAGCCTCTTGGCCTCACTGCTCTGTATCCTGCCTCAGCTTGGCTGTTGCCTCCAGGAACTTGATTTTTCCATCTGGGTCTTGCAACATGGAATGACTCCCAAACTTGTTTAATGTAAGATGCCCGTGAGAGACAGAATTCATTTCCATCTGAGAACCATGGTCCTCACAGGTGGCCCCATCTCTGCTTTCTGACAGGCTAGATGGACTAATTCACACCAGATGGAGTTCTGCTCTTAAAAATCAACAGTAACCATTTATTTAACTGCTATGGAAAGAACCCCCACTATGGGTCAGGACCAGTGCTAAGTACAGGAATACAAGGCTGAAAGATATGGATGCTGCCCTGCAAGAGCTCACAGCTTGGTGGGGGCAAGATGGGGTGGGATGGGTAAACAGGTAACAATAGAACCAGTGAGTAGTGTTTTAGGCTGGAAGGACAAGTGGCAAGGGGAGCACAGAAGTGCATTGTTACAATAAGGTTGTGAGGAAACACACACACACACACACACACACCTTCCTTAAGGAAGTTCTTCAAATGTCTGACCTGAATATCTACTTCAGGGTAAAGAGTCCAAGTTGATTTTTGTTTGGCGACAAGAAATATAGGAAACCATTTGGTGCCTGTTTCTCTTCCTATAATTTCTCATTTGACAAATGGAGAAAAGACTTTTGTGACCGCTGACTTTTTCCCACCCACGTACAGCCTTCTATGAGTCTGTTTAAGGCAGGAAATTCATCCCAACCCCTGGGAAAATTCCTGGAGGTTCACATCCTCCCACCCTGAATAGAGCAGAAACTGGTTCTGTATTTCATCTCTAAATGCTGCAGCTCATTCCGGGGTATCACTCACTATATCCAATTTATTTCTAGGTTTGTTAACTTACCTGGTTTTACTCTGCCTTGTAAACTTTGCTGACTTTGCTATTCCCTTCTCAAGAGCCTTCCTGGCAAGGGTAGGGACAGGACCTTAGGGTCAGTGAGGACAGATTGCCAAGTAGGTCCCATAAAATCACATACAATCAAAGTAGGATAGTATCTGACACAACAGGGCAGAAGTTTGCCATTGCAGTTGACTCTGGAGGACAGAGGGGTACCATCTTCAAACGAGCCTATACCTTGCAGAGTGCACAGCAGGGTAGAATGCCCTGAATATTTAGTAAGCATTTCATTATTAATAAAACATTTTTAGCAAAGCAAAAATATACCATAAACAAGTTTACATCCATAGATCATGTATTGGGAAGTGAGATATCTACATAGTTTTTAGGATGCTAAAGTAGTTCTAAGGTACTTATTTGCACGATGACAAAGAAATGTGCTAATTAAAAATGATTCAGACACATTCTTTAAAGCAGGTCTTAAAGGAATTTACTAAGAGATCCTTTGCTAGTCTGATTCCATATCTATTTGATGGCTTTCTTAGTCCATTAAATAAAACCTCCTCTTATTGAAACTGGCTTGAGCACTCACTAGCCTGAAAGAGGAGGTTTTTTTGTAACTGAAGCCTGAATGCATTTCAGCCTGTGTTTATTTCTGGACATGCAGCAGAGTTTGTTGTTTGTTTGGTTTTTGTTTGGTTCTTTCTCCTAAGTGCCTTTCTTGTCTACTTTGAATTCTCTCTCTTGACCAGATGATCTGTGATAATCTCCCTCTCTCTCTTGTCCCTCTTTCTCAACAGGAGTAATAGCAGTGGTGATATTCATCATCTTCTCGATCATCGGCATCATGAGTCGTGTCCTTTACCAGCATAAGCAGTCACATCGTACCAACCAGATGAAGGAGAAGGAATATCCGGAAAATTTGGACAGTTCCTTTAGAAATGACATTGATTTGCAAAACACAGTGAGCGAGTGTAAGCGGGAATATTTCATCTGAAAAACTGCAGGGCCACCTCATGCTCTTCCTTTGTTGCTCATTTTTGGTTTCTCCTTCTCCTCTTTCTCCTATCTTTCATTTTGCTCATTCTCTTTCTCTGTTTTCCTTTTACTTTTGGAACATACCTGCATTCACCACAGCATCTATCCCCTTGAACCAGCTCAGAATGCCAGGCAGCTATGGCCACTGCCTTCCTCTGTGACACACTTATAATGGTGAAAACGATCATTCAAGAGACTGATTACTTTAGACAAGGAAGAGACACATGTGTGCACATGTCCATATTCAGTTCCGTATTTCCACTTTCTAAGATGCAGCCTTCAGTTCTGCAACCATTCAGTCTTTCAGGCTTACCTTGAACCTGAGCTCTGTGACTTCGGCATGAAGTGGTCATCCTCAACACCCTTCCCCATTTCAAGTCCACTCCGACCAGGGAACTCAGGGTACCAAAACAAGATGCTAGGGCCTGGTTTGTGTCAGTGGCACTTTAAAAGGAACAAGAGAGGTTTGTTGTGTGTTAATTTTCCCCCCACAGGAAGCCCATTACCCTAACTCATCATCATTGTTGGCTCTGACTCATCCCCTGAGTATTTCAAATATAGGATTCCTGATAGTCGTGAGCTATTGCTTTGTTCCTTTCTTACCACTCTCTCCCAGGGCTGACGCTTTAGAACAGCACACAATAGCATAAACCTAGGGGAAGCATGGAAAATAGTCACTTGAAACTAGGAGGTAAAAAGAAAGCTGCTAGGAAGTAGATGTTCTATAACTTAAAAAATGCCTCTTCCAATTTTGTGAGAAATGCTAGCTAGGTTATTCCTGGGATTATTATACTGATAGATATATATATCATTGCTGCAGCAAAAAGCAATTCAAATAAAAGTCTAAATTAGCACTTGGTTCCATGAAAGAGCTTAAACCACCTTAACTCAGCTTTAAAGAAAAACAAAAAACAAAGCAAGACAAACAAACAAAAAACTGCATGAAAGCAAAGAAATACCAAACAGAATTCTTTCCTTCCCTCCCCTCACTAAAGATATGGTGAAGAAAGTAAACACAGGTTTCACATTTTAGAATAGATATAATAATCCACGTCTGTCCACTGAGCCATTTCTCTAGGAGGTTTAGGATGAACTGATGTGTGAGGCATTCTGACTAGCTCCAGGGAGACCCCACTGCTTAATCTGAGAGGAGCCCTTAAGTCCTACAGCACATCACATTTTCAGATGCGCTTCATCCTATGTATATAAAGGCCCCACACACACTTCTTTCTGCAGGCATAAACTCCCAGATGATGCAGTGACACATTTCAGGGTATTTGCCCCTTTTGATACCAAAACATCCATGAAACACAGTCATTCCTTCAAGAAGTTATCTTGGGCACATGCACGAGGTGGTTGTGCGAATCCTGGTGATTTTGCTGTAGTGATATTCCTCACGCTTTGCCTCTGGTCCAGCTTCAGGAAAAAAGATAAGGGGGAAAGGATATAAATGCTCCAGTAGGCTGGGAATGCGAAGAGAATGGTCCACAGACATGGAAATTACTTGCTGATTCTCTTTACAAGACAGACTCGATTTGCATCCCATCTTGTTCTCCGTGTCTGTCACTTCTGACTATTTAACACTTTCCTGCATGATAAGGTTCACAAGGAGGAACTCCAAGGCTTCACCCCATTTCAGGTCTATTCCAGGCTTTTCTTTCAGTGGCAGAGTGCGTGGGGTAAGGATTTCATTTGTAATCATATTTCTCAACTTGAAGATGTTGTTCCAAATACACCCTCTCTTTTAAAACTTTTCTGTGGATTCTTACTTAATCATTCCCATTATATCCTTTTGCTAGCAAATTTATTTTAAAGTGGTTCTAACAAGGGTAACTTTTTTTCCTTCTAACTTTAATAAGATGAATAATCTATTCATAAGAGGAAAGATCTTTACTGTTTCTTCCTGCCCTGTTCTCTCCTATTTCCAGTGTTCACTCCTGAATTTTCTCTTTCCATAAAAATGCTATATAAATCAGCCTTTTGCTTGGTGACATAGTCCTTCGTCCCCTGAAATAAAAGTCACCATGAAGTGTAGTGGGTTTAGCCCAAAGCATCTCCAGTAACGAATTGGAAAGGAAAAGGAAGGTGTGAGTAATAAAACTGGAACTGCTCATTATTCAATCTCTGAGAATTAGGGACTATATTTTGCTGACCCAGTATTGATAGAAGAAATGGAGTACTAACAGAGGCCGCCTTGGAGGATCTGCTTTTCTCATCCACTTTTATAGGCTTGTGGGGGGTTCTGCAGGGTGAAAAATTTGAGAAGCTCCATCCTTGTCACATCTGCACTACAGAATCTACCAGCAAACCTCCCCACATCTGTAGACTATCCATCCATCCATACTGCGTATCACAGACTTAATGACGAATGCCAAGACAGTGCGATCAGCACGTCACTCTTATAAGAAGAGTCTCAGGGCTAAATCAGAATTATTTTTACAGGGTTGGAATATTTCATAACCGTAGAGAACACTAACTTTCACCAGATGTGTATGGAAAGCAAGCAAGCTGCTCTCTCCAAAGGAAAACACAATTTGCAATGACAAGTGCAAACTCTGCCTGTCTTTCCTCCGTGGTACCAAGATCCATGGAGTTTTGTGTAATTGTTGAGTTGTGTGAGTGTTTCAATCCTTGAACAATTATAATCTAAAACTAACAGTCCTTGAAAGCATTCTAATGCCTCCTTAATCACAGTTTTCTGCTTCAGTTTCCTGACTGCATGCTCTGGCCAACTGGATCGCCATAATCCTACATTTTAACCCTCACTCTTTGGTAATGGCTGTTTACCAACATATTTTATGGAATGTGGTCATTTTACAAGAAAACCAAAAAATACCTGTGCAATTTCACATTCTAGGGGGGCTATTTCATTGATACTATTCCCACCAAACAAATCTATTTATGTAAGCAGCAGTGTATTTGCTTACCTTAAATATATATTTAACACTGCATCTCTGTGTGTGTGTATAGGTTAGATCACCATGGTTTTTAGGAGAATTTGTCTACAGAATTAAACATTTTTCACTTCTCTAGATATATTTTTAAGAAAAGCTTAGCCCTTCTGTACTCTGAACTGCAAATGAAATACTTATTTTAAGGATCCTAGGGCTGATTCTTTTAAAACAGTTTTTTATCCCCTTTAGTAATAACAGAGATGGTACCCACCTGACTTCCACCTTTTGTCAGACTTATGCCCACCACAGGAGTAGGATCAGAACAAACGAAAAACCTTGTTCTGTACTTTATTCATTAATGAAGTTTTTATTGAATACCCAATACTCCAAGGGTTGTGCTAGATATTGGGTGTATTCATACACTTTATGCCTTGTTCTTGCCCTTGGGAAGCCCAAAGTCTAGAAGGGGAGGCATGTATTGTTGTAATAGGGGTATGCATAAAATGCTGTAGAATATAGGGCTAAGGTTCTACACTATCATTCTTGTAACATCTTTGCTAGACATGGAAAGAAACATACTTTCTGGAAAATATTTATATATTTCTTTCTTGCTTTTTACTTCCACCTTCAGTAAGCTGACTTTGTTTCTCTTCCTTGAAGCAAATGTCAGTCTACGCTGGTGTGTTTCTGTGGAGGGAGATGGGTTGACTCTTTAGGGATGAGAGTAAATGATACCTGTCTCTAGAGAACTTTTGGGGAGGGTACATTCTCCCCATTCTTGTTTTAATTCTGGGTGGGGGGTTCTGAAAGTCCTCCTTTCATGGGTCAGAACTAAGTGACAACTCGGGGACCCTATTTGAGGTAGGAAACAGCAATCTCCACTTCTCCCCTCTTCCTTTTTTTTCAGTTCTTTTTCTTCGTGTATTGGTGACCTATTGCATGCCCTTGTTCTTCTAGACGTTCCTTAAGGGGTCTTTGTCATACCCCAGCTCCTCCTAAAACCCTACTGTGTCCTGATGAACAATTTTGACTCAATTTAGGAAGATCTCTGAGAATGGATGAAGGATATTTTTAAGTAATTCATTGACTCAAAGTGTCATGCATCTAAGTGAGGTCCCATGTCTGTGCTCCGGGGGAATTTTTCCAATCCTGAAAATCACACATTTCTCTTCTCTGCAGTAAGCTCATTCAGTTACAGGAGCTACACTGGGAAGCTCCAAGACATTCAGGAGTTAGGAATCAGGCTGCTGAATTCTTTCTTATAAAAAGTCTTGACAGCTTGTCCACCAACACCCGGTGTCCTTTAAATACCCCCTTAGCTACAATCCATCAAAACAGCATTGGGAATTGGGAAAAGCCTGCCAAAGGGAATTTGAGACACAGTGTATAGCTCTGCTACTCATTTTTCCTTAACCTCAAGGCTTGGACATAATTAGTCCCCCATTGTCCTAGAGGTCCCAAGTAGACCAAATAAAGAGTCTTCCTTATTCCTGCAGGTGCAAAGGTGGTTAAAGGAAGATGGTGTCGGAAAACTCAAAACTTCCAGAATACTTGGAAGATAACTGAGTGCTATTTCATGTCTGTCATGCAGTTTGATAGTGTTTTCTTTAAAAAACACAGAGTCTGATTGAATTACTTCGATATACTGTTCTTCGGTCTTTTTTACCCTACTCCCATCTCCTCACCCACACTCTTACTTGTTAAGCCGTCTAGTTTGCAGATTTTGCTTGTCCTTAGTTTTCATCCCTGCTTTCACAACTTCCAAATAGTTGAACCTCCTAAAGGGAAAAAAAAAATCACAAACACACACCTACACAAACTCTTTGTCAAAATAGTTTTGTTATTCAGGCTTCCTTTGTGACATTCTCCATACATCTCTGTGTGACAGGGAGAGACACATTTCCTTTTGAGTTGACAGTTATTTGAAGCCTTCATAGAAGGTTTTTATATTTAACTCTTTTTTTCTGTTTTTGAGTAACTTTTGTGTTACTTTCCACTAAGGTACTCTGAGGGAGAACAGAAAAGCACACTTTTTTTTTTTTTTTAGTGAAATATCATACTTTGTAAGCAAATTGTCTCTCTTTTATAATGTTTATAGTCTACAAATTGGCCGAACAGATGTGAGCAAAGATGAAGGCAAAAGTTGGTTTGGGTGTTTTGACCACACCCACTGGGAACAGGTTGAGGAGGAAGAGGGGACACATGGAGACAACTGATAACCTTCCTGCAAGAGGAAAGTCGCTGCTTCCACATGACTCACTGGCAGCAGCTCCTCCCACTCTCCTGGCTCCTAACTCAGGAGTCTCTTTAATGCACTTGGATCATCACCTTAGGGAAAGAGGCAATATCATGGGCTTTGCATGAAGAATTCTTTACTTAACTTGGCACGATATTTTTGACCCTTCCCAGCACTATGTCAGCTACATCTTTTTTTTTTCTTCAAGATGTTTATTTCATCAGGAATTTTCCAGGATGCTTTAGAGCTATCACCACAATGATCTAACCAGCCCTGGTTGAATACCCAGATACAACTTTAAGGAAAAGGAACTGCCAGAAAGCTCCCTAGCTCCACTATCATGAATCAGCAGCTCCATGGGTAGAAGCCCTGAGGTCCTGAAATCAGCCTAGGGGGTCTTTCTCTCCCCTTCATTGGTCCTGCCATGCACAGGCAGGCCAGAATGATGTTGAGGTATGATACTCCCCACCCCTGACAGCGAATACTGCCAGGGACCGACCATCCAACACTATCTGGGAACACTGTTTTCTTCACCCTTCCCCAGCGATACAGGGGAACTTTGGCAAAATGGCAGGAGAAAATAAGAGAGTAATCCTAAGCCATGAACAAAGGTGAAGCTAATTGTTTTAGTGATTAAATCCTAGTCTTTATTTTCATGAGCATCATATTCTTCCATGCTTCTGATTCCAGCAGTAGCCTCAGAGGACGTGAAAACAGGATGCAACAGGATCGTTGTATTCCCCTGCAGACTCTTTGGAAGGCCTTCCCATAAGTAGAATTTTCAGTGACACCTTCGGGGGTAGTATTAATGAGCTTCTGCCTAGTCAGACGTTCCCATTATAGTCCACCCCATCCCCAAGTCTTCACAGGAAAAAGTCTCCTCTCTTTGAATGGCAGTGCCAACCCGTGTAACCTTCTCCTGCCTTAAATACTCATGCAAAAAATACCAAACTTTGCTTACAACACCATAGTTATATGGTGAGAAGGACTTTGTATTTAGTGAGGTCCAGCATCAAGAATGTTCTCCTTCTGAATCTGGTAGTTGACAGGCCTCCTGATATGCTGTGCTATCTTGGGCTGTCACTTCCCTCAGTGCGCTGGAGGAGGCTCAAAAGGTGCAGAGGTGTCATCAGGAATAAGAATGCAGGCTGAGGGAGGAACCACAAGTCTGCCTCCAGGGTACGCTAGGTAAGGAGCCAGCAAACTTTTTCTGTGTAGGGCCAGATAGTCAGTGCTTCAGGCTTTATAGAACAGACTGTGTTGCAACTACTCACCTTTACTCTTGTAGCAGGAAGAGGGCCATACATGGACAAAGAGCCGTGGCTACGCTCCAACAAAACTTTATTGACAAAAATAGGCAACAGGTCAGATTTCGTCTGTGGGCTGCAGTTTGCTGAGCTCTGTGATACCATATTACCATGTCCACTTCAGCTGGGAAATCAGTCTTGTTCTGGCATATAGTGGTCCTCCTTTTTGAAGAATGGGAAAGAGTAGGGAGATTATTTTTAACAAGGAAACAATAAAATACAAAATAACCTCTTCAAAAATATAGATGTCAGATCCTTATTATGGCAAAAGCACAAAGCAGGTCACCTCTCTCTGTAGATCTTCTGGAGTCTAGCTTTTCCTTTTGACCTTCTCATTTTTGTCCCTGAAACAGAATCCCAAGTGATGTTGCCTCGTTCCAAGTCAGTTTTGTAGACCACGTGACATGTCTTAATACACTGTATGGGGAAAAATGAAAGTTAGCCTTAGATTTCTTTGTTTTTTTATGGTTCCTGTTGTACAGAAGAAAGACTTACACTGTAAATAATGTATATTTAATAAAGAGAGAATTTTGTATGATTTTGTGTGGAAGACAAATGCCTCTTGCTGTGTTTTCTTGGGTTAATGAAAAGTCACACAATTAATCCCTTGGTGCCCATTCTTATTCCTTAGACCATTAACTCCCAGACAACATGACCTGTGGGGATTCTGGAGAAACAAGAACCTCCCACTTCCTAGGTTTATTGATTTCACCAGGCTTAAAAGGGGTGCCATGGGCTCTCTGAGCCCTCAGCGGTTTTTACTGGCTTGTGAGCCTGGCTCAGATGTGTACAAGAGCAAGCTCATTGACTTGGTTAGAAGTCAAGTTCAAGGCTCAGAAGCCACTCTGGTTTCAGGGGTGCACATGAAAACTGGGCTGGGTGGGGGGAGCGCTCCTAACCCTTACCCACTAACTCACAGAAGCCACTTGCTTCACCTTGCCTTGCCTTCCCTTTTTTCTCACAGTCTTAACTCCATCTGTTTGAGATGCTAACCATGCATCGTCATGAAATGGAACTCACTTCATAGTGTGTTTATTAAGATTTCTATGTATGGGGTAGTCAGTCAACATACAGAAATTGAAAATGGACATAAATTTTCAACAGGACAGTATCATGACACCTTAGATTTAACTTTCTTTTTTTTTAATTCATTTTATTGAAGTAGAGTTGACTTACCATGTTGTGTTCATTTCTGCTGTACAGCAAAGTGATTTAGTTATATATATATAGATGTATTCATTCTTTTTCATTATGGTTTATCACAGGATATTGAATTTTGTTCCCTGTGCTCTACAGTAGGACCTTGTATGATATAACTTATGTGTGGAATCTAAAACATGACACAAATGAAATTATCTATGAAACAGACTCAGATTTAACTTTCAAAAACTCATTTAACTGCACAGTGGAGAGTGGACCCTAGGGAAACAAAAGCAGTAGAATATGTATAGTTGGTACGCATTTCAGAAGCCTGAGGGAGAGTATGGTGGCTGGGACCAGGGCTG